CTACTGCCTCCCCATCACTCTGACATCATCTACTGCCTCCCCATCACTCTGACATCATCTACCGCCTCCCCATCACTCTGACATCTGCTGCCTCCCCCATCACTCTGACATCTACTACCTCCCCATCACTCTGACATCATCTACCGCCTCCTTATTACTCTGACATCATCTACTGCCTCCCCATTACTCTGACATCATCTACCGCCTCCCCATCACTCTGACATCATCTACCGCCTCCCCATCACTCTGACATCATCTACCGCCTCCCCATTACTCTGGCATCATCTACCGCCTCCCCATCACTCTGACATCATCTGATGCCTCCTCATCACTCTGACATCATCTACCGCCTCCCCATCACTCTGACATCATCTGCTGCCTCCCCATCACTCTGACATTATCTGATGCCTCCTAATCACTCTGACATCATCTACTGCCTCCCCATCACTCTGAAATCATCTACTACCTCCCCATCACTCTGACATCATCTACTGCCTCCCTATCACTCTGACATCATGTACTGCCTCCCCATCACTCTGACATCATCTACTGCCTCCCCATCACCCTGACATCATCTACTGCCTCCCTATCACCCTGACATCATCTACTGCCTCCCTATCACTCTGACATCATCTACTGCCTCCCTATCTCTCTGGCATCATCTACTGCCTCCCTATCACTCTGACATCATCTACTGCCTCCCATCACTCTGACATCATCTACTTCCTCTCCATCAGTCTGACATCATCTACTGCCTCCCTATCACTCTGACATCATCTACTGCCTCCCCATCACTCTGACATCATCTACTGCCTCCCCATCACTCTGACATCATCTGCTGCCTCCCTATCACTCTGACATCATCTACTGCCTCCTCATCATTCTGACATCATCTACTCCCTCCCTATCACTCTGACATCATTCACTGCCTCCCTATCACTCTGACATCATCTACTTCCTCCCCATCACTCTGACATCATCTGCTGCCTCCCTATCACTCTGACATCATCTACTGCCTCCTCATCACTCTGACATCATCTACTGCCTCCCCATCACTCTGACATCATCTACTTCCTCCCCATCACTCTGACATCATATACTGCCTCCTTATCATTCTGACATCATCTACTGCCTCCCCATCACTCTGACATCTTCTACTTCCTCCCCATCACTCTAACATCATATACTGCCTCCCTATCACTCTGACATCATCTACTGCCTCCCCATCACTCTGACATCATCTACTGCCTCCCCATCACTCTGACATCATCTACTGCCTCCCCATCACTCTGACATCATCTACTTCCTCCCCATCACCCTGACATCATCTTCCTCCCCATCACTCTGACATCATCTACTGCCTCCCTATCACTCTGACATCATCTACTGCCTCCCTATCACTCTGACATCATCTACTGCCTCCCTATCACTCTGACATCATCTACTTCCTCCCCATCACTCTGACATCATCTACTGCCTCCCTATCACTCTGACATCATCTACTGCCTCCCTATCACTCTGACATCATCTACTGCCTCCCTATCACTCTGACATCATCTACTTCCTCCCCATCACTCTGACATCATCTACTGCCTCCCTATCACTCTGACATCATCTACTGCCTCCCCATCACTCTGACATCATCTACTGCCTCCCCATCACTCTGACATCATCTACTGCCTCCCTATCACTCTGACATCATCTACTGCCTCCCCATCACTCTGACATCATCTACTGCCTCCCCATCACTCTGACATCATCTACTGCCTCCCTATCACCTGACATCATCTACTGCCTCCCCATCACTCTGACATCATCTACTGCCTCCCCTTCACTCTGACATCATGTACTGCCTCCCCATCACTCTGACATCATCTACTGCCTCCCCATCACTCTGACATCATCGCCTTGGATACATGAGTCTGTTACTTGTACAACACTTGCTCATCATTGGTTGATCATCACTTATCCATCACTGGCTCATTTGTTGTTCAACACTGGTTGTTCATCACTTGTTCATCACTGGTTGTTCATCACTAGCTGTTCATCATTATCTGTTCGCCATTTGTTGTTCATTACTAGTTCATCACAAGTTGTTCACCACTTGTTGCTCATCACTAGTAATTCATCACTAGTTGTTCATCACTTGTTATTCATCACTTCTTCAATAATTGCTGTTCATAACTAGTTGTTCATCACTTGTTGTTCACTGGTTTTTCATCACAAGTTGATCATAATTTGTTCATCATTGGTTGATAATCACTTGTTGTTCATCATGGGATGTTCATTACCAGTTGTTCATCATTTATTGTTCATAATTTCTCGTTCATCACTAGTTCCTCACTTGTTCACCACTACTTGTTAAATTGTTGCTCATTTGTTCATCTTTGGTTGATTATTTGTTGTTCCTCATTTATTCGTTAATTGTTCATCACTTTTTGATCATCAAATTGTTCATCACTGGTTGTTCATAACTAGATGTTCATTTGTTGTTCATCACTGGTTGTTTATTTGTTCATCACATATTCATTACTGGTTCATCACTAATTGTTTATTTGTTGGTCACTGGTTGCTTATTTGTTCATCACCTGTTCATCACACATTCATCACTGGTTGTTCATGACATATTTATCACTGGTTGTTCATCACATATTCATCACTGGTTATTCATCAAATATTCATCACTGGTTGTTCATCACATATTCATCACTGGTTGTTCATGACATATTTATCACTGGTTGTTCATCACATATTCATCACTGGTTGTTCATCAAATATTCATCACTGGTTGTTCATCAAATATTCATCACTGGTTGTCCATCACATATTCATCACTAGTTGTCCATCACATATTCATCACTGGTTGTCCATCACATATTCATCACTGGTTGTCCATCAAATATTCATCACTGGTTGTTCATCACACATTCATCACTGGTTGTTCATCAAATATTCATCACTGGTTGTCCATCACACATTCATCACTGGTTGTTCATCAAATATTCATCACTGGTTGTTCATCACATATTCATCACTGGTTGTTCATCAAATATTCATCACTGGTTGTCCATCACATATTCATCACTGGTTGTCCATCACATATTCATCACTGGTTGTCCATCACATATTCATCACTGGTTGTTCATCACACATTCATTACTAGTTGCTCATCATTTTTTGTTCATCTCTAATTGTTTATCACTTGTTGCTCTTCACTAGTTGTTCATCACTACTTGTTCACCATTATTTGTTCATCACAAGTTATTCATCAGTAGTTGTTTATCACAAGTTGTTTATTACTAGTTGTTCATCACTAGTTGTGCATCACTAGTTGATCATCACTAGTTTATCACCGCTAGTTGTTCACTAGTTTCCTATCACTAGTTGTCTATCACTAGTTTTCTATCACAAGTTGTCCATCACTAGTTGTCCATAACTAGTTTTCTGTCACTAGTTATCCATCACTAGTTGTTCATGACTAGTTTTCTATCACTAGTTTTCTATCACTAGTTGTCCATCACTAGTTTTCTATCACTAGTTTTCTATCACTAGTTTTCTATCACTAGTTTTCTATCACTAGTTGTCCATCACTAGTTGTCTATCACTAGTTTTCTATCACTAGTTGTCCATCACTAGTTTTCTATCACTAGTTTTCTATCACTAGTTGTCTATCACTAGTTGTCTAACACTAGTTGTCCATCACTAGTTGTCTATCACTAGTTTTCTATCACTAGTTGTCTATCACTAGTTTTCTATCACTAGTTTTCTATCACTAGTTGTCCATCACTAGTTTTCTATCACTAGTTTTTCTATCACTAGTTGTCTATCACTAGTTTTCTATCACTAGTTTTCTATCACTAGTTGTCTATCATTAGTTTTCTATCACTAGTTTTCTATCACTAGTTTTCTATCACTAGTTATCCATCACTAGTTTTTCATCCATAATTGTTCATCACTAGTTTTCTATCACTAGTTGTCTATCACTAGTTTTCTATCATTAGTTTTCTATCACTAGTTTTCTATCACTAGTTTTCTATCACTAGTTTTCTATCACTAGTTTTCTATCACTAGTTTTCTATCACTAGTTTTCTATCACTAGTTTTCTATCACTAGTTATCCATCACTAGTTTTTCATCCATAATTGTTCATCACTAGTTTTCTATCAGTAGTTGTCTATCTCTCGTTGTTCATAACTGGTTGTTCATCACTAGTTGTGCATCACTAGTTGATCATCACTAGTTTATCACCGCTAGTTGTCTATCTCTCGTTGTTCATCACTAGTTGTTCATCACTAGTTGTTCATCACTAGCTGTCTGCCTAGGTATTTGAAACACATCATTAAATTAATAGTAGTGATCCTTGTATGGGCCTGTTAGTCACATTTGCTGTCATAATTCTTTACCTTGGTTTCCCTGTCTTTGCTTATGCAACATATGGGAATCTTTATTAAGGAAACGTTTCGCCACACAGTGGCTTCCGCAGTCAAATACAAAGTAAAAACGGGTAAGGAGATGAGGAGTTTGAGGTAATTAGTCCCTCATCCTGGAATCGATGTGTTCAGTCCATCACTCTTGTAGAAAGTACAGCATATGGCAGGAGAAGTGGCTTATGTACTATACTCAGGTGAGTGGAAGCAGGAGGAGGCGGGACTGATGAAGCCACATAAACGTTTCCTTAATAAAGATTCCCATATGTTGCATAAGTTTCTCAGTCTTCAACTTCTTGGTTTTCAAAGCCATTTGTCACACAGATGTTTTTAGACTATTTAAATGTTTGAAGCTGTCAGCTTCATATATCTAATATATAATGTACCTTAGTTATTAATCTTAAGTACTGAATCTATATGTAATGTACCATAATCTGATATCCGTATCAGGCTTAGGCCTTGAAATGGGAATGTATTCACATGAACAAACTGCTATTGTCAGCAAAATTAAAAATATATTAAATATTCTCATTAACGTATTACATAAATTTCGCTTATCATTTGTTAACGTCAGGTTTGGCAAAGAAAACGGAGAGATTGAACTTCTCCTGATGACGTCCCTCAACTCCGACAACACCAGGCACGACCTGATGCAGGTAAATTATCTCATTGTGAAGTCTCATCTCTCATGTAGAGGCGAGAAAGACAAGGACGGGAACAACAGAGGAAGAAAAGTAGGTAGTGGTAGTGCTTAGTGGTAAAGCTGGAAGTGGGCACTTAGCTCTCCTGTAGCGCTCATAACAACATAATATATTAACATAAGAAAGGAGGCACACTGCAGTAGGCCTATTGGCCCATACATGGCAGGTCCTTTACAAAACCAACTCACTAACAGAACATTTGCCCAAACCACTTTCAGTGCAACCCCATTTTGTTTTTATACTGGCCCCACTTCTACTTGTACTACCTTGCTTCTCTATTCCACTACTGTTGTTACTACCTTTACTATTGCCTCCTTCACCCTTCGCTCCCTTTTCTCTCTTGTGCCATTAACTACTCTTCCTACTTTCCACTACCACTATTTCTTCTACTTCTACTTCCACTACAAGGGTTACAACTACCTCTATTTCCTCTACTTCCTCTACTGTTACCATCCTCATCTTTCATTGTCTATTCTCAGCTATTACTGTGTCAGTGTTAGCGTCTCTGACTCGCAAGGAAGAACCCAGTTTCATTCCTGGGTAAAGAAACATAGGACATATTTATTTGCACTTGCTGATTCTGTTATCTAGTTGTCAGTAAGTTCCTGGACCAGAAATTCCTGCAATTTACTATTCTTAACACTATCTCCACCCTGATTTTTTTAGTTGCAACATAAGCACCGCCCATACAGTATAAGTCTCCTACAAATTGATTTAGCCCCATCTATTTCTATTTCATCTTCTGTTAAATGTGTTTCCTTGTTATATATATATTTTTTTATTTTATTATCACACCGGCCGATTCCCACCAAGGCAGGGTGGCCCGAAAAAGAAAAACTTTCACCATCATTCACTCCATCACTGTCTTGCCAGAAGGGTGCTTTACACTACAGTTTTTAAACTGCAACATTAACACCCCTCCTTCAGAGTGCAGGCACTGTACTTCCCATCTCCAGGACTCAAGTCCGGCCTGCCGGTTTCCCTGAATCCCTTCATAAATGTTACTTTGCTCACACTCCAACAGCACGTCAAGTATTAAAAACCATTTGTCTCCATTCACTCCTATCAAACACGCTCACAACATGCCTGCTGGAAGTCCAAGCCCCTCGCACACAAAACCTCCTTTACCCCCTCCCTCCAACCCTTCCTAGGCCGACCCCTACCCCGCCTTCCTTCCACTACAGACTGATACACTCTTGAAGTCATTCTGTTTCGCTCCATTCTCTCTACATGTCCGAACCACCTCAACAACCCTTCCTCAGCCCTCTGGACAACAGTTTTGGTAATCCCGCACCTCCTCCTAACTTCCAAACTACGAATTCTCTGCATTATATTCACACCACACATTGCCCTCAGACATGACATCTCCACTACCTCCAGCCTTCTCCTCGCTGCAACATTCATCACCCACGCTTCACACCCATATAAGAGCGTTGGTAAAACTATACTCTCATACATTCCCCTCTTTGCCTCCAAGGACAAAGTTCTTTGTCTCCACAGACTCCTAAGTGCACCACTCACTCTTTTTCCCTCATCAATTCTATGATTCACCTCATCTTTCATAGACCCATCCGCTGACACGTCCACTCCCAAATATCTGAATACGTTCACCTCCTCCATACTCTCTCCCTCCAATCTGATATTCAATCTTTCGTCACCTAATCTTTTTGTTATCCTCATAACCTTACTCTTTCCTGTATTCACCTTTAATTTTCTTCTTTTGCACACCCTACCAAATTCATCCACCAATCTCTGCAACTTCTCTTCAGAATCTCCCAAGAGCACAGTGTCATCAGCAAAGAGCAGCTGTGACAACTCCCACTTGTGTGTGATTCTTTATCTTTTAACTCCACGCCTCTTGCCAAGACCCTCGCATTTACTTCTCTTACAACCCCATCTATAAATATATTAAACAACCACGGTGACATCACACATCCTTGTCTAAGGCCTACTTTTACTGGGAAAAAATTTCCCTCTTTCCTACATACTCTAACTTGAGCCTCACTATCCTCGTAAAAACTCTTCACTGCTTTCAGTAACCTACCTCCTACACCATACACTTGCAAACATCTGCCACATTGCCCCCTATCCACCCTGTCATACGCCTTTTCCAAATCCATAAATGCCACAAAGACCTCTTTAGCCTTATCTAAATACTGTTCACTTATATGTTTCACTGTAAACACCTGGTCCACACACCCCCTACCTTTCCTAAAGCCTCCTTGTTCATCTGCTATCCTATTCTCCGTCTTACTCTTAATTCTTTCATTATAACTCTACCATACACTTTACCAGGTACACTCAACAGACTTATCCCCCTATAATTTTTGCACTCTTTTTTATCCCCTTTGCCTTTATACAAAGGAACTATGCATGCTCTCTGCCAATCCCTAGGTACCTTACCCTCTTCCATACATTTATTAAATAATTGCACCAACCACTCCAAAACTATATCCCCACCTGCTTTTAACATTTCTATCTTTATCCCATCAATCCCGGCTGCCTTACCCCCTTTCATTTTACCTACTGCCTCACGAACTTCCCCCACACTCACAACTGGCTCTTCCTCACTCCTACAAGATGTTATTCCTCCTTGCCCTATACACGAAATCACAGCTTCCCTATCTTCATCAACATTTAACAATTCCTCAAAATATTCCTTCCATCTTCCCAATACCTCTAACTCTCCATTTAATAACTCTCCTCTCCTATTTTTAACTGACAAATCCATTTGTTCTCTAGGCTTTCTTAACTTGTTAATCTCACTCCAAAACTTTTTCTTATTTTCAACAAAATTTGTTGATAACATCTCACCCACTCTCTCATTTGCTCTCTTTTTACATTGCTTCACCACTCTCTTAACTTCTCTCTTTTTCTCCATATACTCTTCCCTCCTTGCATCACTTCTACTTTGTAAAAACTTCTCATATGCTAACTTTTTCTCCCTTACTACTCTCTTTACATCATCACTTCCACCAATCGCTCCTCTTCCCTCCTGCACCCACTTTCCTGTAACCACAAACTTCTGCTGAACACTCTAACACTACATTTTTAAACCTAACCCCATACCTCTTCGACCCCATTGCCTATGCTCTCATTAGCCCATCTATCCTCCAATAGCTGTTTATATCTTACCCTAACTGCCTCCTCTTTTAGTTTATAAACCTTCACCTCTCTCTTCCCTGATGCTTCTATTCTCCTTGTATCCCATCTACCTTTTACTCTCAGTGTAGCTACAACTAGAAAGTGATCTGATATATCTGTGGCCCCTCTATAAACATGTACATCCTGAAGTCTACTCAACAGTCTTTTATCTACCAATACATAATCCAACAAACTACTGTCATTTCGCCCTACATCATATCGTGTATACTTATTTATCCTCTTTTTCTTAAAATATGTATTACCTATAACTAAACCCCTTTCTATACAAAGTTCAATCAAAGGGCTCCCATTATCATTTACACCTGGCACCCCAAACTTACCTACCACACCCTCTCTAAAAGTTTCTCCTACTTTAGCATTCAAGTCCCCTACCACAATTACTCTCTCACTTGGTTCAAAGGCTCCTATACATTCACTTAACATCTCCCAAAATCTCTCTCTCTCCTCTGCATTCCTCTCTTCTCCAGGTGCATACACACTTATTATGACCCACTTCTCGCATCCAACCTTTACTTTAATCCACATAATTCTTGAATTTACACATTCATATTCTCTTTTCTCCTTCCATAACTGATCATTTAACATTACTGCTACCCTTCCTTTGCTCTAACTCTCTCAGATACTCCAGATTTAATCCCATTTATTTCCCCCCACTGAAACTCTCCTACCCCCTTCAGCTTTGTTTCGCTTAGGGCCAGGACATCCAACTTCTTTTCATTCATAACATCAGCAATCATCTGTTTCTTGTCATCCGCACTACATCCACGCACATTTAAGCAACCAGTTTTATAAAGTTTTTCTTCTTCTCTTTTTTAGTAATTGTATACAGGAGAAGGGGTTACTAGCCCATTGCTCCCGGCATTTTAGTCGCCTCATACGACACGCATGGCTTACGGAGGAAAGATTCTTTTCCACTTCCCCATGGACAATAGAAGAAATAAAAAAGAACAAGAGCTATTTAGAAAAAGGAGAAAAACCTAGATGTATGTATATATATATATATGCATGTGCGTGTCTGTGAAGTGTGACCAAAGTGTAAGTAGGAGTAGCAAGATATCCCTGTTATCTTAGCGTGTTTATGAGACAGAAAAAGAAACCAGCAATCCTACCATCATGCAAAACAGTTACAGGTTTTTGTTTCACAGTCATCTGGCAGGACGGTAGTACTTCCCTGGGTGGTTGCTGTCTACCAACCTACTATATATATATATATATATATATATATATATATATATATATATATATATATATATATTATATATATATATATATATATATATATATATATATAATTACGAGGATGTCAGATGGTGGATGAAATAAAGACAAAACAATTCTTCCTGGTTTTGTCTAGGTTTTAAGGTGAGTGGGCTTGAGCATCCAGACAGCATGAGTGACCGTGCTGGAGTGTGAGCATGGTAACATGAAATCTTTCAAAGTAATCGATTAGCCAGACTTAAATCAAGGTGGTAGGAAGAGTTGGGATGTTATTGTTCGAAGGGTCAGTTCAGTTATGATAAGCATGCGCTTCTGGAGAAATAATAATTGAATGAATAATAAGTTTGGTTCACCCTACCTTCATGTGAGATGGCAAATGCGTTGAAAATATGTACATACGTTAAGTGAAGAGAAATCATGCCTGTTTTAAGATAGCTCTTATGTTTCTCTCTCCAGGGCACTCTAACTACAAAAAAAAAAGCACAAGAACAATAACCCGAGAAACGAAAACCCAGCCATAACAACTAGGGAACATCAACTTTTTTTTAAGGAGAATAGATAGCAAGACCAGT